TATTAGAATCTTCAAATAATTCTTAGTAGTATTGTGGATTCAGAGATAAATATTCTAGGATTCTAGTTCACCATTCTAGTACCTCACAATTTAGAGAAACTGATACACTCTAAACTACTATTAAATCAGACATGCAAAAATTACTAGGAACTTTATAATTAAGGAAAACAGCTAAAAGAACTTCTCACAAGAGTGATAGTGAAAGAGAGTAGCACCAGTAGTTGGTAGTACTAAGAGTTTTGTGGGTTTTTTTGCTTTCTTGCAGATACATTATGTTTCCAGTAATTTTATGTCAATAACTTACTATAAACTTATCTTGGTACACAGGATAGGAAAGCTTGGCACTTGCAAAACAGGTTCAAAAATAGGCAGGAGACTATTTCATGACCATTACGGGATCTGAGTTTGGACTAACAGAAGGAGATAAGCACTCAGAATTCAAAAGTCATGAGGTGATATCCAACAGCAGACAAGACATTAACGAATATTCCAATCGGAAGTCTGGTGTCAGCGCATAATATATCAGGCTACTAACATACAGGTGGGCGGTTCAAATCCTCAGCTGTTCTGTGGTAGAAAGATGGGCAGTTTCTTCTTATAAAAATTTACAGCTTCAGAAACTCAATGAAGGATTGCTATGAGTCAAAACGGAACTGATGGCAGTAGGTTTGAAGTGGAAGGTGGGGTTTTTGGGGGGGGGCAAGACTTTGTTTTGATTACTGCCTCTCAGTTTTTGTTTCTCTTTCCTATATACTAGATACTTGGTGGGACAGAAAGAAAGTCTTAATAAAAGATTGATTCAATCATCCAATTGCTGACTATGTAATAAAGTCCCCTCATGAATATGCATAGAAGCTTTAATAACTGTTATAAAGAACTCCTGACCCTACAAGGAACTTAGGATGACATGAAGCTCTATTTCAAACACTTCCTACACCTCTCACCTGCATACCTCTTAATGTATACCTTTTTGTATGTGTAAATTACAAAAGTTATAGGAGTATATCTATGAGTTCTGAGTCACTCTAGCATACTAGTGGATGCCGTTGGGGTCTTGAGGGCAAGCTGGACCAGCTGTCTATTTGGCAATTGTGAAGAAATGCTTGGATGAACCAGCCTTGGGTGGCTGGTGGGCAGAGGAGGCCTGTGTAGACAGACATTTTTTGTAAAGACTAAACTGTGTGATCAGAGTTAGAGAGGGAAACTGCAACATGGGTGGTTGTGGCTGGAGTAAGTAGGAAAGCAAAAATGTGAATGATCTAAGTATTTTGGATTCAGCCCTGTGATAATTTATGGAACTATGGATACAGCAGTTTAAATGAAATAAATTATTGGATGTTAATAAAAATGAAAGGAAAGAGAAGGAAAGCAAAGAATTGTTTACTCTAAAATATTTAAAGTACACTACCAGGTGGCACAGTCTATAAGGAATTGCACTGCTAAACCAAAGGCAGGATTTCTCTGATGGTATGAAGCCACCAATGACTGCAGGGGAAAAGATGGACAATATCCTTCCATGCAATGTCTAACCCTTAAAAACCCGCTGGGGAAAAAAAACAACAAAAAACAAAACCTGCTGGAGTGTCAGCTATGAATTGGTTTCATCTCAATGGCAATAAGTTTGAGTTTCTGACCTGGACATAAAGACATTCGTGTATGTTACACACACACACACACACACACACACACACACGTATCCTTTGCCCTCATTCTCATGCTTTATTGCAGTGGTTTGCAAATTTGGCTACCTCTGGGGAGGTTTAAAATTCTAATGAGCAGCCTCTCAAGAATAATTAGATCAGAATGTCTAGAAATTAGAATCCTGAAAAATGGTCTCCAGTTGATTATAATGTTCTAGCAGATTTGAGTCCTCAAATATACCTAAGGAATGGGTCAGGAGAGGGTTTTTTTATAAATTTTGTTGTTGTGAGTGATAAATGGAAAAAAGTATTGAAAGTAAGAAATAGACCTGCGCAAATAAGAAATTTTAAGTTTTGTCTTCACCTAGGAAATGCAAAAATGTAAAGTTTTGAGGACATTTGGTTGTTTTTGTTTGTTTTAATTTTATTTCATTTATTGATAATTACCACTCCATTCCTTCTAATGTTCAAAGATAACATAATAAAGTAAGCACTTTGAGGTTATATATTGCAAATTCATTCAGTTAGTATTTTTATATAACATATAATCTATTTTGTTATACATATCTCTTTCTACTGTACATTTTCTCCATTCATTGTCACATAATTTATAGATATGTTCCTCCTTAACAGAAGAATAAATTCTATAGTCTAAATTCAGAGAATATTTCCAAATCATGAGTTAATCAGTAGTAAATTTCCTTTTCAAATATCTAAACAATTCTATATTTATCAATATTAGTAACAAATCTTCTTTACTTTATGTAAAGTAATATATTTATAAAAATTGCATTCTTAATATTTACAAAAATATTGCCTTATATAATAGGAGAGAGATGGCAAGCTAGTTTCTTAAGTATAACATTTGTCAGTTTTGGACAATTAGTGATCACACAGGTTTTTAAATTTCACTTTGAATTTCATTATTTCCCCAAAACATTCAATATAAATATTCCTTTATAAACTATGAATAACATTTTATAATATTTTATTATGTATTATATTACGTATTACCACAGTAGTATGTATATTAATAATACATTGTAGTTAGTGGTGGTTGTCAGTGCTTTAGAGTCCCTTGCAAGTGATAGTGATCTTATGTACAGTATCTCTTAACTCTGCTCTGTCTCGAGCCAATCTCATTGTTTTAGACACACCTATTTCTGTTACCCCATTTACTGAGTCAATCCACCTCATCCAGGGTCTCTATGAGTTGCAAGCGACTCATAGCGACCCTATGTACAACAGCCCTAAACCATGCTCTATCCTGGGCCAATCTCATTGCCTCTGACACACCCATCCCGAGTACCCCAGTCACTGAATCAATCCACCTCACAGAGGGTCTTCCCCTCCTGCGCTGTCCCTCCACTCT